ACTCCTCAATGAGGATGAGGAAGACGAAGGAAAGGTTAAAGAAGGGGAAGGAGAAGATGATGCTGGTGCCAAAGGTGATGACGAGGAGGAGGAAGAGGAAGAGGAAGACGAGGACCAATTCCAGGACGACATGGAGGGTGATTACAATGCCGAACAGTACTTCGACTCGGGAGACGGAGAAGGCTGGGGTGATGATGGTGGGGGTGATGATGATGGCTGGTTCTGAATACCCCAGTCTCTATGCAAAATGTTTCTTTACATAAGCGAAGGTGTGTAAGATGATTGCTGCTCTTTTTTTGCTATTCAGCGGGCGTTCAATAGACAAAAGATTTTATTTCGCTACCATTACTTGGTTTTAGTCTTGGACCTCGTTGAGGTGGTTCAAGTTGATTTTCATAAAGTCTCACAGTGTTGGGAACCTGATCCCGCTTTTTAGAAAACAGCACTTGAGTCATACAATAAGATTTTGGCCACGAGAATATCTGACAACATCACCCATTAACAACTTCCAATTCTGCGCTCTTTGCTGCTTCAAACTACTCTTGATACCTCTCCAATATATTTTTCATCAATACATTCTTCCAATGACTGGCGTAGCTTCCTGGGGTCCGTCTCTCATTCCCTACAGCTCTTTGGACGTCCTTCCACTTGATATCCTTGGTAATTACCTGCAACATGGCTGCGATTTCTCTCCGGCGGAATTTGGTTTCTGAGGGGCCGCCAAAAACTCCTGATGTCGTACTGTTGTTTGTGCGTGGCTTCCTCGGAGCACTCCGAGGCTTCTTTGACTTAGGCTCGAGGGCCTGAGTCGCCGAATGACGCTTTGTAGAGCCGGAAAATAGGGGCTGGGTTTGGCTCCACATTAGTTTTCTTTGAGCCTATTGATGATCTAGATGACCTTACTTCGTCATCTTCGGAACCTATTTGTATCAATCCCGGATATGTGGGATATTCAGAATGTGGTAAGTTTCCCGAAATCTCCCACCTAGGCAAATACCCAGCACTCTCATCACTGATGGTATGAAAGGGCATCATTTGGCCTTCCTGGATTCCGTTGCTAGTACCCATGGGCAGAAGTGGCATATCGGGAAGGCCTTGGATTGTATTTGATTGCGGGGGTGCTTGGGAATCCTGACGGAATTGTGGCGGAAGCATGGACTGAAGTAGATCCGGACTGAAATTGACTTCACCCTCCCTCGTATACTGAGTTTGGGAGTGGATTATCCCGCTTGAGTGCAAATTTTTTGCCACTTCGTTCTCACATACCTTCTGTGATACCTTTGTCACTCTGAATCCCACCACTCCGCGGGCCGGCGGAGCATTCTTCTTTAGCAGGATATTCATTGATGTTTTCCCTGGTTTCCTCTCTCTCGATGGACCCTTCTTCCTAGCAATAGTTCGCTTTTTTTCCTTGCGCCCCATCTCCTCAATTTCAGATATACCCTCATCTCCGTCCATCACTCCGTCGTCCTCGTCTTCCGTCTCCTCCCTATCAACCTCGAAATCTTCATCATTATCATCATCAATACCATCAGTTTCATCAAGCTCATCAATTTTTTCAGGGCTGGTAATTAGTTCATCGTTTTTATTGTCGTTCTCTGGTGCTGGTTGCGCAACACCTTTTCTGACCAGCTTTGCCTTAGCTGCACCAAGTTCTGCTGTCTCTGTGCTACAGATGATGGTCCCCTCGGCTTCTGTCTCGTTTGCTGGTGGACTGTAGTCCTCATGAGCCTCGTCGCTTTCGTCTTGGGGTTCTTGGTGAGCTTCCTTAATTCTGGCAGCCCCAGCAATTGCTGCTTGTCTCTGAGGACGACCGCCCTTGGTGAGCGTGGGTGAAGGTACGACATCGGACATTTTTTTAATATCCTGGGAATTAGAGAAGCAAGGGATTGTTGACGGGATTTCTGATTAATTTCATGCATTTAGATTGGCCCTCCTCGGTGTCATATATGTACCCAGACACTACTCCACACTCACCTATGTTGTTCGACTTGGCTCCCTTGTTTTCGCCCCCCGGCCTTGCATCTGCCACCTGCTCCGCACCTCCTCCATTTGCAACGATCGCGGAATTCCTTGAAGTTTGTCCTGTTGTACCACGAATGTGAGGAGAGGGTAGAACACTTCCCGTGCTAGGAGTCGTGTCAACTGGCTTTACGGTGATGATATCGTATACTCTTTTTCCCTCGTGGGGGTTTAATGGCGGTTGGCCCACTTGAACACTTCCTTTAGACCGCGTACGGGGCATCATCGGAGAAGGTGGAAACGGTCCTAGGGCTGACCTCTGACCCATGGATAGATGGTTCTTTGAAGTCAAAGAGCAGTGGAGAGAAAGAAATGGAGACACTTGGTAGGGATTTCCTTGAAGTTTGCTGTCGTCCATTGGAGTTGGTCCTTGTTGAGTTACGAGTCAGGCCCTTTATCCACACCAGGGATGTGGGAGTCGTCATAGTTATAGGATCAAACAAGGCTTGCAGGAAAGAAGGGGACGTGCAGCATGGCATTGCGAGATATACACTCCAATCCGAGGCTTAAGTAACTCCAACCGTAAGTGCGCAACCTGCTATTTCGAAAATATAAAATGATTATTTAGAACAGTTTGCAAATTCGCAGCCCTTTATTTCGCGTGCCTGCTTCCTGGGAACTATTCAGCATAATGTTCCAGATCACGAGATATCACGTCTCACAATATTGGAGGCACAGTGCTTAGTTCCCTATTGCTTCCTCAGCCAGTTCTGTTTCTATTTGCATCAGTTGTGCAGTTGGTCTCCAGTCCTCTGCATCCTCAAGTGCTACCTCTTCCTTCACATCTTTATCTTCCCTACCATCTATCAATATTGCCCTGCAATTCCCACACACCTTACCCAGCTCCCCACTCCCACCGCCATCACCACCATCACCAATACCCACATCAACAGCGACAATGGTTCCATGCTCCCCATTTTTGTCAGGAAAAGCATCATACATCTGCCTCAATACCACTGTGCCATAAAAGGTCCTCAAACTGTCTATATGTCTATACACCCCAGTCGCTTTACCGACTTCCTGGGCTATCGTGTTCCAGTCATCCCTGATGGTGTTATTAACCCAGTTTTGCAAGGCGCGTACTTCTTCCCGGGTGTACGGTCCTGCATGTTGGCGGCCGGCGTGCCGGGAGGCAGCTTGCTTTGGTGGTGTTGCTTTGGGAGAATCGCGAGGTGACGGTAATGCACAGGTGGGGTCAGCTGGGGGCTCGTCTTCCGTGGCGGCGTTGCTTTTTTTTGCACGTTTTGCGGGGGGCTTGCGGGGAGTTTGAGTCTTGCAAAGTGGTTAAAACCGACCACGCCTAGGTTTCGGAAATATGTGAGTGGCATAAGAGTAATATACCTTGATTTTCTTTCCATCATTAGATCCGTCGTTTCTGGGTTTAGAGCTCTGAGCCTTTCCACGAGCAGGCCTGCCTCGCCTTTTCGCTTTGGGAGAGGCTTCGGGGGCACCACATGCCGAGGGTTGAGGCTCAGGCTGCTTAGGCTGCTCTGTTGGCTCTTCCTCTGTAGCTGGGGGGCCTATGTCGATGACCATTGTACCTGAAGGTGAAGGCACAGTGCTGCCTTGTATGGAGGACTGTTTATCACATTCAGGCATATTGATCTGTGTTTGATGGGGATGGAGCTCGATGTATTGCATCTCCATGAGGGGAGCATTACTTACCATGGGGCCCTGTAGATTTCTTCTTTAATCTACAATGCAAACAAACCCGGGCAACTAGAATGTCCTAAGTCTGTCTACAACCGTCTTTATCCGTGAAGCAGTCTGCACACTTCACCTTCTCTGGTACGGCGGAAGAGAGGGGGGGGGGGGGGTTTCAGTCTGCATATTCACGAAAAGGTGTTTGCTCCGGTAGGAAAACGGTCATAGGGCATTTACGGATAGCGACTTTTTGTTAGCAAGGCCGTTCTAGTTGTTAAACACTTTTTTCTTTTGTGTGTGTGCCGTATGCGCCATAGTCAAACATTGAGTGTTTGACGTCTCTTAAAAAAGCCTTACATGCTTACGTGGGTGTGTGGTACGGATACCTACCTGGCTAATAGGTGCTTACAATAATTGTACATAACCAATTTTGTTAGGTTTATTTTTTTTTATTTTTTACTTTTTTTTCCTATCCCTACCACATTACTTCTATGCTACAACATGTCAATATCTATTATCCTTAGTCACTGAATTACCATCCAATCGAAGCACGCAGCCAGGTTAAGCTCCATTATCTTCCACATCTGGTTAGTAGTCTTAGTGGACTTCCTCATCAGGTAGTCCAGCACCCCTGTCCTACTAAGTACACATCGAGCCTGTGGATGTATGATATCGAATTGAACGTTTGTCACATCCTTTGTTCTTATTATTGAAATTAGGAAAAATGTACTTATGATATGGGTTGCAACATTACATACGAATGATTGTAAGATTTCTGTACCAGGAATACAAGCTTGACGCTTAGGCCAACTGCACTTACAGAAAGGAGAAGCTAAACGAAAAAAAAGAGAAAAGGCTAGAAATGGATCCATGGGACAAGAACCTAGGCATCAATAGTGCTAGATACAGTGGGGGGGCTCGCTTAAAGTTCACATATATAGATACGCTTTTGTACTGCTAATCATGGATGGTTGGCCGAGTGGTTATGGCGACAGTTTTAAGTATGAATATACAATCACTGTTATCGAGAGATGCAAGGGTTCGAACCCCTTACCATCCAACATTCTTTTTTGTATTTTTTAATTGTCTTGGGAGAATTTGTAAAGTCCGGACAGGAGAAAGTGTTCTTAGTCAGTAACCGTGATCGTTGTTGGGACACGATATTTCTGTCCTATTTATCCTGGAGTAACAACTGATGGTTACCTGCTGTAGGTGGCATCATGTTTATCTTTGGAGCTCTTAAAGTTGGAGATAATAATAGTAGCCAATTTTCCGACTTCGAGAAGGAAAGCCTTGCCAAAACCGAGAAAATAAATAAAAAAAAAAAGAATAAGTTCCGTCGCCGGGAATTGAACCCGGGTTCTGAGAGTCCTCACTTTTGAAAGATGAGAGTCTCAAATGCTAGCCACTACACCACGACGGATGTGATCATGTGATGGTTTGGAAACTATATCAATATAAAGTAGCTATAAGCGCTGGCGACAGTTACAATATTATGACGCACGGCGAGGTATATTATGCAGGTGTTGCGTCATAACTCTCGCAGGAAGAGTTGTGTTACATTTTTGGTTTCCAGGCCAATTCCAAATCAGCGGTGTGAAGAATCTGATAAAGCCGAACGCTAGTCTAGATGCAGCCATTGATACAACTGATATGTAGTTATACTGTCTCTAATGGCAAAAGCCAAACGGGAAAGCGTTTAAAAAATTCTTTTATCATTCTAAAATATTATATAAGGTGTTTATGTAACTAAAGCAATGCACTATCGAATGCCGGGATTTAGAGAGTTCTTAACTCAGCACTACCACCCGAAGACTTCTGCAACAGTCAAACAAAGATAGCTCTACCAGTGGACACTTCCATTATCCGGACTCTGAGGGGTCGTAATATTATCAGAAATCGCCCAGGTGAGGTCCTAAATCTGAATTACACAAAGGACATGCAACGTGAATTTCAGAGGTGCTATTCTACGCTTCGTAGACTTAGGGGGGTATACCTACACCCTATGGGACATTCGTTAACAATGCCATTATCTCTACCTAGTGCTTTTTTCAAGGCAATTATATTGTTATAGCCTACCTCCACAGCTGGGCTTTTGTCTCGATTCCTTCGTTTCACCATCGTTGACACGCAAGATCTTGCTATGGTTTCAGTGCTCCTTTGTTCCAAATTCAAGTTCCGCAGATGAATGAAAAGGAAACTATACAACACCACCAGCACTTGGAACCATCCTTGTGTCCCACGTTCTTCCACTTTTTTTGCTATCTTATGGCGGAGGCTAACTTAGAGGCTGTTTAACGCCAAAAGGCTCGTTTCATATCCGACCTCTTTTTTATCTTGATATCTCCATGTATTTCAATCCCTGCATCTCCATCCCGGCTTTCAGTCAGCCAGACAAGTTCTCCTTTCCATTCTTTTAAAGGATTTGATTTGATTTTTACAGAATTTATTATACAGCTGGTGGCAGATGAATATTTGCATGCTGCATGGAGGCTCGATTGTGAGTAAAGAGCAGCTTTTATCGGTTTCTACACCTTCATCTTTTTAAATTTTAGAGCGTAGTTCTCTACTCGTTACATATTTGATTATTTTCTCACGTTCATTTATAGCGAACGGTTCATTTTATACCCATTCTTTTATTTTATTTGTACAACCCATATAGAGATCATCTACGATGCATCATATCTCAACAGTTCTCATTCTTTTCCACACCTTCATTACCCTCCAATTGCTATGTCCTACCACTGCCTCCCCAATCTCAAAACGCTTCATCCCCGTAATATTACCTACAACAATTTCCAATTCCTTATTCCATCCACTTTTGGACCCTCCTCCCCAACTGTCAAACACGGACTTCGGCTCAAATTCCCCCCCGGAGTATTGTAAAGATATCTGCGGGGTGAAGAAACGAGCCCTGCCCTCCAAGACGCCAACAGTGGTCACAGTCTCTGGTCGATGGATCACTGAGACTCAGGATTCAAATCATTCTACACCCGAAACGTCAACGGATACGCCTAAGGACCAGCCAACGCAGACAATACTGGACTTTGACTCTCAGAAAGTCCATGATGTTAATACAGGGACGATACAGGGTGTTAGCCCATCAGACTCATGTGACTGTGCGAGTCTCAAGCTTGTCAATGATATAAAATCATACCTCCTCAAGGAGATTGCAAAGCAAATTCCCACCACCACTACTACCTCCACCACCAGCACATCTACCACTAGCACAACTACACCACACCCCACCCAAACAAACCCAAAAATCCCTTCAGATGACCTCACCCCTGGCAAACTCTCAGCTATAGCCGTCGGCTCTTGCTTCCTCCTCTTTGTCCTTCCCCTCTTCGGCTTCATAATCTATAGCATCACCAAAAGCAAGCAAGTAGCAAAGGAAAAAGACCAAAGGAGGCCCTCCTCATGCTTGAGTATCGATAGCTTAAACCCCGACGTGGGCGAGATGAGGAATAATATACTGAGTTTCCTCGGAACGGGTGATGCAACTGCAGTGAGTGAGAGCCAGGAGATAATAGTTGCGGGAGTGGGAGAGCTGGGGAGGTATGAGGTAGTAGTGGAAGTTGAGGAGATGGGTTTGCAGGATGAGGTGAGGGTTTCGCAGGTTGGGTTGGCGAGATGAGGTCCTGAATAACAGAGGGTAGCAGAATTTAAATGGCGACAGGTTTCGTTCAGCAAGAGGGGGGTGGTATATTCTTCTGTATATATTAACAATTTATATAATTTTTCTTTTGTGCAGAAGACCTTTGTACGCCGGTGAAGCTAATCACAAAACAAATACCTTTTCCATCCAAGTCTCTTGAAAAAAAAAACATAAAAACAAGAGTGACAAAACCCCCCCCAAAAAACATCTCGTACACTCCAAATTTGACCTTTAAATGTATAGGATATCCACATTCCTCCACTCAACGAGTCTATGCTGCCACCTTAACCACCTCTTTCCCCGGAATCAACGCATACTCCAACTCCCCACTCCTCTCAAACTCTACCATATCTAGCGCTACAATCGCGCTCTCCCTAACCACCCTCTCTCCGCTCGCTGCCATCTCTTTAAGATACTCTTCTACTCCCTCTACGTCCCCACCTACACTTCCCAGCGCCTCTACCGCCTCGTGCCTTACCATGGCATGTTCCTTCTTGTTCCTCGCCACGGGGATCAAGTACGGAACTGAATCTGGGTGCCCGAGTTGACCGAAGACGAATGCGATTTCGTGGCGGAATAGCGCAGAAGGATCGTCGAATCCCGAGGCGAGTGCTGGGATTGCGAGGGAAGGGTGGGAGTTTACAAGGTTCCTAAGGCGGAACATCGCTCGGTACCGGGAGAATAGGGGAAGAGATTGATCCGTCAATGTTTCTTGTAATATCGATATTCTCAATTCCATTCTCTGGATAATTTCTTCTAGTTCTTCCCTCTCTTCCTCTGATGTCGGCGGGGCAGGGTCAATAGACGTAAACCCACTCTTATCCTCACCCCTAACTTTCGCCGCTTTCCCTTCTTCCGTTCCAAGCCACTCAAGTCGGCTAATAGCTACCTCGCAAGTCTGTCTCACCTCCTCGAATTCCCCTTCGCGCGTAAGGAATTCCCGTAGGAGTGGGAGAGATTCCTCGTGGCCAAGAGCACCGAGGGCTTCGCCTGCTTCATGGCGGACCATGGGGTCTTCCGAGAGGTTAGAGAGGACGGATTGGAGGTAGGGTGCGGCGTGGGAGTTCGAGGATTGACCGAGGCAGTAGGCGAGTTCGTGTTTGAGGAGGGCTGTAAATCATACTATAAGTTAGCTTGCGTATGTCGAGGTGAGATATTTGAATATACGTGATGCCTACCAGAGTCGGAAGAAAATGCAGAAGCAATGGCTTCGACAGCTCCTATGTCTCCATTTGTAGCAAGATGTTTCAGCGAGAACAACGCACGGAAGCGGAGTGCTAGGTTTGCAGAGTCGTCACAGAGGACGGCTCGAAGCTGGGCGAGGATCTCCTCCGCGGAGGGAATCTTAGTAGCGCTCATAGCTGGATGACGAAGTGATGAAATTTTGGATAGATTGTTGAGTATTAGGTTGAGCTCTGCCCCACCATCTGATTAGATGGGATACTGGTGTTGATGAGATTAGATAAGCTTTATTAGATCTGATAACAGTAATGTGTGGGCTTAACCCTACTGCGAAAAAAAGACCGAGTATAAAACAAGCAGGCGATGATTGTGGTCCCAGTCTGACCTGATGGCCAAAATTATGAACCCGCAGTTGTGAGTTTTGGAGTTACAAGAGGCTTAACCAGACAATAAATAGCTACACTTACAAACAGGATATCAGACTTATTTACGTCTAGGCACCAAGGCATCAAAAACTCAGCAATCAGACAAACAAACGAACAAACAAACAAACAAACAAACAAACAAACAAACAAACAAACAGGTACTGAAACTGATGCTTTGGGAAGCTCAAAATCAATTTGCAGCTTCTTGTTTCCTCCCCCTACGTCCCCAAAAAGGATCTGCAAGATCTTCCGCCTCAATATCAAATGCCTCCGGGAACAACCCCTTAAGACTCTCCAGGTGTCCATTCATCGTCTGGTGCGCCATATAAACCGTCTCGTCTGCGTTCTCAAATATTTGCCTCAGCTCCCGGGCCATAGCTAAACCTTCCTTATCCCCTTTCACTTCTAACGCTTTTATCCTCTCATTTATCATCTGAATGATATATGAGAAATCCAGCCGCATATACTTAGCTGCCGTCCAAGCATTTCCAAAGGTTATCTTATTGCTTTCCCAAGGTTGCCCCGCAAACCAGTCAAGGAGGTCTGGGTGGTGTAGAGTCAGGGTTGCTTCGTTCAGAAGAGCAATGAACTCATCGGCCTGGGTCAGAAGGCTGGGAAATTGTTGGCCTTCTAATGGGATCTCCAAGGCCTGGACTTGGAAGCGGTTGGTGAAGTGTGTCAGGATGGCGCGTATATCGCTGAGAGGCTGTATAAGGGTGTGCTCAGTGGTGTCTATGTCTTCAAACCATGCGGTGAGGTCTGGAGGAACTGTAACAGGAATATTTTCCCCCTCTCCATCATGGGCTGTAGTGACAGGGCTCGTAGGTGGGCATTCTTCTAATGCCATTGCCTCGGATGTATGGACTGTACTTGATACACTCGTATGGTTTCCTGACACAGAGTTTTAGCTATGGGAGAAAGGAACAAAGGAGCCTGTCACGTAAAGTGACAATATAAATACACTCATCCTTGGTCAACTTGGGCAATAGGCGAGGTAGTCAACCCATTCAATGGAACCATGACCCACACCCGTACAGCGAGACTAAGGAAGCAATTAGGGAGTACAGGAGTGCATCAAAGTGCCCCACAAACTCTCTTTCAAACCATACCTCTCAACGCAGTCAATCAATCGGAAAGGGGCCATGAACACACCTTGAA